GGAATCACGATAGAGATTCCTTTATGCTAATGTTTATATAATAATGCGACTAATAGACGCTTTGTTCGACGTCTCTAGTTCGTTAATACACTATACTAATAATAACAATTACAATAATAATGGTTGGACACAACAATATGATTATCAATGTCCAAAAGGGACTGAAGATTTCAAAGAAACAATGCTTTTCGACTTTCCAACGAACTTCCGTATTTCCGATTTCAACATTATTTTCACACAATTGCACAAAAATATTATATCATCATTATATTTATACATATTAAAACTATTATTATAATTAAAATAATTTAAGTATATTATATCATAAACCACTTGAATTCAATTCTTTTTTCATTATAGATACTTTTGTAAGTACAATGAAGGAAAATTAATCCGAATCTTCACAAAACTTTTTAAATCTATTGCCTACTTGGTTTATAACTATACATAAAAAAAATGCATTGACGCGAAAGTCTCACTACCAAAATGGTAGTACTTGGTGATGATCCTCATGGTCGATATGAGTTAGTTAATATCAGGGGCGGCAGGGCCCCACCTACATTTGTATAATTAGTCCAATAATTGTAGTTTTAAACATGTGTTTCTTGTAATTATTATTTTTTTGATCTATTTTCAACACGTTTTATTGTTTCATAAAAAAAATACAGTCGTGTTTTGTGGCAATATTGTATGTGACTTAATATGGGCTCTTGGGCCAGACGGAGCATTGTATACGTTCGAAATACAGACTGTATCGAAATCCTGACTACCATAATCCCGGCAATCAAAATTCCGACTATATCGAAATCCCGACTATGTCAAAATCCCGACAATCAAAATCCCGACTATATCGAAATCCCGTCTATGACAAAATCCCGTCAATCAAAATCCGGACTATATCAAAATCCCGACTATATCGAAATCCCGACTATGACAAAATCTCGACTACCATAATCCCGACAATAAAAATCCCGACAGTGTCTTTTATTATTATAAATTTCTACAATAACATTTTTAAATTATTCCGAATCTACTATTATTTAATATTAATAACAATAAATTAATTTCTTAATTTTATGTTTTATTAAGTCAATAAAAATAAATACAATAATAAATATATATTGTTATTAATAGTTAATACCAACAATTATTAATCTAATTGTATTTGAGATTATTTCAAATTGTCAAGGTTTATTATGAATAATTCAACGAAATCAAATACAATAATAATAATTTATCGTTATTAACAATCTTATTATATAATTTAACGAAAGTATATACATTAATAGTAGACCTAGGTCTTTCTGCCCGGGAATTTATTTTAAATATATTTAATTTATTATTTATGTTGTACTATATTTTTTGAGTATCCGGCGCCGACTTGTATTTATATTTTTATTAAAAAAAGAAAAGAAAACTCTTTAGAAATGAGTTTGTTGAGTGTAACCATTATTATTATAATTAATAAAGATAATAGAGAAAAAAATGTATGCTATTTATTTACTAAGTCTCCTAGTCTATATGTCTAACCAAAAACAAAGAAACCTCCACCAAGCGTTCCCATTGATACGTACGAATATTTTTTTGAATATTCAGAATTTCGAGAAAACGATGTAGACGATATAGTCGTAAAACAAAAGAATTTAAAAATGAGCATTATTACTTACTACGTGAATAAAAAAAGAACATCGATATTCTATTGTTTACAATAAAACCTGTAAAACAAATGAATATAAAAAGGAACGTTATTACATACTACGTGAATAAAAAATAGAACATCAATATTCTATTGTTTAGAGCAGTGGTTTCCAACCTGGGAGGCGCGTCACAAAAAGGAACTAATAAGATTTGTGCGTGTGGATACTTAACGGTGAAGGAGAGAAACCGGGAGGACATTTTTTATTGGTGATGCGATAAAAGAAAAACAACGATCTGCAAATAAGCGACTGGCAAACGGGTCGACAGGACCCTGCCAAATGGGAAGGGGTTTCCAGAAGGAAGCTCATTATTGAAAGAAGAAGAAGAAGAACGATCTGCAAGGGCAGAGTGACCACAATACTTCTGAATGGACTACATTATATTCGTAAATTTGTCGATCACAACCATGCACCTCAAGCAAGTTTTGCGAAAGTTGCCCAAATTATTGGTGAAATAAAAAGACAAGCTGTAGATACGAGAGATCGACCATGTCAAATTATACAAAATGTTCAAGCAAATACAAATCACCAAACAATTCTACCCTGTATGCCAGCAAAAAACTCTCTTCGTCAAATAATTCAAAGAAAAAGCACGCAGAAACCACACCAGAGCCATAATTATTAGATGATATAAACATACACGACAATCTGAAACGTACGTTAAATGGCAATTTGTTTTTATTAAGGAGAATTAAGAATACTCCTATTTACAACGATACAACAAATATACAACACCTATCGCAATCAGTTTACTGGATAATGGATGGTACTTTTAAAACCGTACCAACAATTTTCGATCAACTGTTGCATTTTGCCTTTAGTGTATGCGCGATTATTTGAAGACCTAAATGTTTTTTTTTAATCCACTTAAAATATAGACAGACATGGAACTGGCAGCAATCAAAACAAGAATATCCGGACGTTTTGAACAAAATATGTTTTTTTTTCACCTCGGACAATGTGGGTGGAGAAAAATTCAAGCAAGCAAGCGGAATCTGTTTGCGTTGGCGTTTCTTCCAGATATTTATAGAAGAATTTTGCGTCCTCTTTTGCCATCAGATGTTGAGCCGGTAATAGATTTGTTTGAGAGTAATTATGTGTTGGGTAGAATAAGGAGACAAATTAATGGGATACCTATTCGAGGCTTCATTAACTTTAATTAAACTTAAAATTAAAAAATATTCTAAATTAAAATTATTTTATTGTTACTAATATTAAATAATATTAGACGGTGACTACGTTTCGCAATAATTTAAAAATATTATTGTATAAATTATAATAATAAAAGGCACTGTCGGGATTTTGATTGCCACCGATTATATTTATATCTTTTGAGCTCGTTCATCCGCTGATTCACACGAAATAAGTCAAAAATAAATATAAGTTAGATATTTGTTTGCAAATTATTTTCCATTACCCAATATTTGCGGTCACGTAGGATGTGGAACAGACAGCAGTATTTGTTGGAAGCTGCTTGAGTTCGGTTCGTGCTAAAGCTTGGAAGACAAAAAAAAAGATCTAGTTTCATCACGTTTGTTAATTATTGCGTAATAATTTATCCATCATGTAAGTATCAAGCAATTTTATTTTCAAATTACTATTACTATATTTCTTTAATAATTTCTGTGCTTTGTTCACTTTAAGTAAACATATTTGTAATCTATACGTATTGCCGATTCCCTGAATGGGGTTTCCTTTATTCATGTTCATCTCAAGTTTATGTTCATCTATAAATATGCACGGTTCGATTCATTATCTAACCACACTTTGTAAACTGTTGCAATATTAATACGTCGCACGATCTAATTGAAACTACTAATCAACTCTATTACCGCCTGTAACTTCAACAATATCTGATAGTAATGTGGTAAGTTTGAAACTAAAAACTTTTGCAGTAATCAAAATTTAACGGTGATTTGTTTTTGCCATAATAAATACAATAAATATAAAAACTTATTTTCAGTAACGATTGTTTTTTAATTATAGAGTTATACGTTAAAAGCATTCAAGTGCTGTTAAGATGTACACTTTAGTAGATTTTTTATATAGTAATGCACAATAATCAAGTTGTTGATAGGGGAGATCAAGCAAGCAACAATCTAAATTCAACGAGATTCACATTTTTTTAAATAATTTTCTTTGCATGTTATGAAATAAAAGTTTGTATATGCTTTCTTGATTCAATCCATTTTGTTGATATATGTTTATCAATTTCCAAAAGGGACTGAAGATTTCAATGAAACAATAGCTTTCTACTTTATATTCATCATTATTTTACTTATGTTTCTTTATTGGCATAGCTTTTGAATCCCAGGTTTTGTTACAATTGGTTTAAAATATTTAAATTTTGGTATTTTAGCTAAGTCTTTTTGTTGTCATTTTAGCTTCCTTTTCGCTGCAAACATGGTATTGTTTATACATTTTTGTTATTTGTTTATATATTTATTTCAAACTTTATCATAATAAATATCAATAATATTTACAGATAATATAATTTAGATTATCGAATAACGCAAATTCCGAATGGTGATCATCTTCTGTTTTATATTGTTAAAAATGACTATGAAATGTTGATGATGCTTATAATAAATTTATCAATTTCTTCTCGATAGGGGTAACTTTCTAAATAAATTAATTAAAATTTATCCTGAAATTGGATACTTAATGAGCCAAGATAGATTGGATTTATCCGATGTAAAAGCTGACCTTCAAGAAGATAAGGAAACTTTTGATGACGCAATCAATACAGAAATGGAAAATTTGAACAATATACCAGAAGAAGGCATTACAGATAGATCGGATTTATACGATGTAAAACCTGACCTTCAAAAAGATAACGAAACTTTTTATGACGTTATCAATACAGAAATGACAAATTTGCAAGACGTCGAAGGTATGAATAAGGAAGATTGCGCTGAGGAAGGGGTTAATGT